TACCCTAGCCCAGCATAGCATTGCGCAGCATAGCATAGCATAGCAGAGCATAGCAGAGCAGAGCATAGCAAAACATAGCATAGCGCAGCACAGCATCCACTACTGCTGCTGCTGCTGCTATATATATGTACTATATATGTGTGTGTGCGCACGTATGTTCCATGCTACTACTACCGCTACTGTTACAACTACGACGATGAGGAGAAGGAGGAGGACGGCGTTTACCGCTCCTAGTAATGTTGCTTTCCTAGAGGCTCCAACTCCTAGGTAGGGCCGCACTGGGATAATTTGTTTCTAATCGTCATCCCGGGCGCCGCCGCGTGAACACGACCCCCGGTCATTTATTAATCGTCATCCTCCATTACCCCCACGATTTCTGAGGGGGAGGGTGGGGTGCAGTGATTCCTGAGTGAACCCCAGCCGCCCACGATTTCTGAGTGAACCCCACGACTTCTGAGTGAATCCCACCCTCCCCCTCAGAACACGTGGGGCGTAGGGGTAGGGTTCGCATGTGGCCCCCGATCGGGGGCACCCCGCCCCTCCTGCACGACCAGAAGAAATGCAGCCAACCCGTATCAGAAGGATGCACGGTACGGAGGCAAGGGCCTTGGAGGCCCACGTGGACGTTTTTCGAGCGAGGCTGGCCAGCGAAAGTGGCCAAGGATGGGCCGAGGAGGCAAGAATGCGAGGATAACCTTGGGAAGGTTGCCCATCCTTACCAAGCGGTCTGACTGTACTGCTGCCAAGATGACTAACCCCGCATGCGAGGGATCACTCGCTTGGAGAGGGGCCCCTTGCCGAAGAGGCAAGATGAAGCCAGGACGAGGATTCCATCGGGTGAGGATGCGCATCGAGAATCTCTCTGAGATCCGGCGGTTCAGGAGGAGCTATCGGGCGCCGCGGCCTTGTCAGCGCGTTCCGGGACGCTCTGAGAGAGCTCTGGACCGGACTTGTTCCTCGTCCTGGCCCCGTCCAAGATCACTCGGTTGAAGAGGGACCCCCTGACGAAGAGGGCCGCCCTCGCCAAGAGGACAGACCGGACCCGCAAGGGCGTGGGGCATGGCGAGGGCAGAGGGACAAAACACTTTTGATCCGCGGGTCGAGTGCGCACCTCTTCCGGTCGAAGCTAAGCGGGCCGCGCACAGCTGGAATTAACAGAGGGGGCAGAGGGACAAAACACAACATACGAATATGAGCTTTCTGAGGTCTCTGCGGATGCCACGGATCGGCGGCGACACCCCCTCCCTGCCAGCAGGGGGACCGCAACGCCGATCCAACAAATGCGCGCGGACCTCCGAGAAATGATACGTATGCAGCTACTTGTTCCCCGAGGGGAGGAAGGGAACGAAGGAGGGAAAGACCGCAAGGGCAGAAAGGAGGGAAGGGAGGAGGCGAGTAACGGAATGACGGGGGTCCGCTGCGCAGCCACCGCGGCGGATGGTGGTCGCGGCTCAGTGAGGGGATCCAGGATTCTACGCCCGCGTGGAAAAGACATGCATGTGTTCGAGACATTGCCACCCCGCTGGACCCCCGAGCGGAAGGTTCCCTGAACCGCGACTGCGATGAGGGATACCATGTGCATTTGAAGAACTGTTTTCTGTTCCAGCGACATCTACAAAACAAATGCCGCACGGAGGAGGAGGAAAGGGAGGAGGAGGAGGAGGAGAAGGAGGAGGAGGAGGAGGAGGAGAAGGAGGAGGAGGAGGAGGGGGAGGAGGAGGAGGAGGAGGAGGAGGAGGAGGAGGAGGGGAGGAGGGGGAGGCAGCGGAAGGAGGAGGAACTGCCCTGCCATGTCTGTTTTTTTGGGTCATGCGGCATCAGTGCCGCCCGCGTGCCGTGCCGCCCGGTTGCCGTGCTGCACGCTGCCGCCCGCGGGCCGTGCCGGTCCGAGCCCGCGCGTGCTGCCGAGCCCGCGCGCTCTGCCGCGTGCAGCTCGGCTGCCAGGAGTGCAGGGGCTCGGCCTCCAGAGCGCACAGATGATGGGCGTGTTTCCCACCACCACCACTATAAGTTGGAGGGGGGAAGGGGAAGGAGGACGAGGAGGAGGAGGAGGAGGAGGAGGAGGACGAAGAGGAGGAGGAGGAGGAGCAGGAGGAGGAGGAGGAGAAGGAGGAGGAGGAGGAGGAGGAGGAGGACCCCCTCCCCCTCCAACTTGTGGTGGTGGTGGTGGAAACCTGGCACATCCACAGAAACTGCCGCCCCATCGTGCCGTGCCGGTGCCCGCGCGCCGTGCCGTGAGCGGGGCCCAGGCTGCGAGGGCAGCCGAGCCGCCCGCGCGCTGCGGTGCCGCGCCCGCGCCGCGTGCCGTGCCGCGCGCGGAGCCGCGCCGCGCTCGGCGTGTGGAGTGCGCAGCGGGCTGCCCGCCTCGCCGCGGGGCTTCTCGCGGAGCGGGGGCGTTTTTTTCGGGCGCCGGTGCCCGGCGTCACTGGCGGAGGCTGCGCGCCCGCGGCCAAGCAAAAAAAAGAAAGAAGAGGTGCGCCGAGGGGCCCCACTGCGTGAG